CAGGCAGCAGGAACAAGATGTGAACTCAACATTTAAGTTGATATATGGAGCTTGTTTGCAATCACTTGCTTATTCACACGTCCACCATGCCAACAATATCGAGGGTTTGATCCCTAGCCCCTGCAGTCAACATGTAAATGTGTGTCCCTTGACAAAACACTAAACCCCAAGTTACTCCCAATAGCATTGCCAATAGTTTGTAGTGTGTACATGAGCAGGTGGCTCCTTGTTTGGCAGCCTCTTGTTCTGAATGTGTGTGAATGAGTGGCTGCTGTCCTGTATGTGTAAAAGCACTTTAAAGGGTTACAAAGAGTATAACATTCAGATTTTAAATGCAATCAATGTGTCCATACTTTTGAGATTTGCCATCTGGTGAATGTGCGTTCCATATTCACCTTCTTTAAGCACTGGGTTTGGGCTCTACCCTAAGAGAAATATACATATATATATATTTGTTTGCTGTACAAAACACCACTATTTATGTCTGTTTGTAGTTTTTGCACTGAGCAGGTATTTTTTAAAACAATTGAACGCACCTGGGTCATTCCGTGTCCACAAGTTTTTTGTTTACATTTTTGATTCTGTTCAAAGCTTATGTTTAAACTATTAATTAAAAGTTCTGTTAAATATTATTACCAAATATGGCACTGGGATTGTTGTTGTTTTTGTTAGCTAAAAACAACATTTAACTCCTACAGCCATGAAATTATGTATGGTCACAGATAAAATGGTTTACATGTCAAGCACATTTGTCAGTATTCGCCCACAGAAATGCTAAATGGATTGTTTCGGGGCCCCAGGCAGTGCCTCAAAGTATACATTTAGACAATACACAATTTCCTGCTTAATTTCAGTGGCCTCTAACGTACACAGAATCATAGACACGATATGACTTTCAAGCCAAGGTTGCAATTTGTTGCCATTTTTAGTTGGCAAAATGGCAATGTGGACAAACGTGTGAAAATACTATTTGCTATAAGTATTTTGTGTATGAAGTTAAGGTTCCCTTCCACTTTTTCTTAATGTTGAAATGGACTAATATTAATATATTGTTCCATTTAAAGAATATGATGAGGCTCATGATGCCCAATCAACTACACATGCATATATCTTACATCAGATGTGATTAAAAAGGGTTGGAGAAAGCTGGTTAAGATCATGGCATTGGATATCTAGTGAGATAGAACGTTCTGGATGAGCAGCAGCATCCTCAAAGGCTGCAGTGTTAGCCAGACTTAGGTGAGGAAAAGCCAGATTAATGATCATGTCAATATTTTTAACTATCGGCCCCTGGGTAATAATATATCAGCAGAAGTAACCAATTGCTGCTCTCAAAGAGTAATAATTACAATAATGCTTTAAACTGAGTAATGAGCTTCAACAACTGCATACCTTCCTGTTTGTGAGCGGCCATTGTTCAACCACATTTGTGTACACGCATCTACATCCTCTGGTTTTAAACCAATCATTGCTCTGAGTAGACACGGCAAAACAACTTTGTGAGAGGGCTACTCGCAATGTAACCAGGAATTGGGAGGAATGAGGCTGCTTTTTGGGAAACGCTGCACATATTCAGCTTGACATCCACAACAGGGGTATATTTTGAGGCAGATGTTGCGTTCAATAATTCACATATTTATTCAGAGGCAACACTCAAGCAGGCTTCATAAAAACGTTCGGCTTATGCCTTGGAATGTGTAAATATGTGAATTATTAAGATAAAGCTCTACTCCCCTAACGTGCCCACGTAGCTACTGCCACATTGCCTGCATCAGATTGTTGGTGAGGTTCATCCCAGATCCAAGCTGCTTTTCCTGGATAGATATTTAACGATTTCCTTCAAATCTAAATGTTTTTCCTACAGAATCATAAAAAACTCTAGGTTGTTCTATTTATGTTCAATATGATGAACAACAACTTGCTGATCAGAGTTATGCTTAAACTCTGAGAACGCCTAATTTACTGAATGTGTTATCGCTAAAATACAGAGGTGGGGACTCGAGTCACATGACTTGACTCGAGTCAGACTCGAGTCGCATATTTTTTGACTTGAGACTTGCTTGACTAACATTGATAAAAGACTTGACTTGACTTTGACTTGGTATTCATGACTTGAGACTTGACTTAAGCTTGAGACAGATGACTTGAAAGGACTTGACTGTTTAAAATAAAATATTTGCGTTTGTTTTTGTAGTGTGATATTACGTTTAGTTTTTTCGAAAAACGTGATTGGGTGATTATAGCGCCATGCGCGCAAACCTGGCAACCCACTAGAAGGCAGGAGTGTCAGTTAACATGGCAGCGGCTAGCGTTACTCCACAAATAGTGAAGTTTGGATTCAAGGATTATGTTGTCGATGACGCTAATAAGAAGAGAACAGCGGTATGCAGGGTCTGCAGCATAAAGATCAGTGACACGACCACCACAACATCCAACTTCATTCGTCACTACAAAAAAACCCACAGAGAAAGGTGCGTGAATGTGTTGTGTTAGCTAGAAAGCTAACGTTAAGTTTAAGCTACGTTAGACTTGGTTTCAAATCGATTAAGCATTGCAAAGAGAAGACAAAATGGTAAATGAACACTAGAACCTCCAAGGGATTCATTTGTACTAACCCTGATACTGACGGGCTGTCAGGAGAGGGAGAGAGAGAGAGAGAGGAAAAGAGATGCCTCGTTTATTTCCCCTGTGTTATTATCAGAAGTTACTGTAAACTGTTGAATAATGTAGTTCATCTACTTTTAGTAGTTTGTTTAAATGTTTTAATTATGTTGTTTTTGTTTGTAGAAGTGCATCATTCCTTGATTTATTGTAAAATGAATCTGAACTTTTTGATCTGTTATGATGATAAACTGAAGCAATTTCTAAATGAACCCAATTAAGTGAGTTTTAAATCGTCCTACTTAGTTTATAAGGAAATTATGAAGAGGACAAATTAAATGATTTGAAAATGATATCTATGTAGGTGCTGACGCTGTTGGCGGTTCTAGTGTTAACAGACATTTAAATTAAATATGTGTAATGGCAAATGCCATATACGATTTTCTTACCTGGAATTCTGCCTTTTTGAACAGACTTTTTGACTTGAGTCCTAGCTATATTGTCTGCAGTTCTAGGGTTAATATTAATCTAATATGATTGTCATCGAATTAGATTTCAAATGATTAACTGTGTATGTAATGAAGATCATAGTGTGGGTTAAATCCATTTTCATAACCACTGTCTTTTAACTGATTTAAATGTGGAAACTGGGCTTATTCATCAGAATTTTGTATGACTTGACTTGACTTGCTTGACCTGAGCAATGACTTGACTTGACTTGCTTGACTCTCACCACAGTGACTTGGGACTTGCTTGATACTTGTAGGTCAAGACTTGATACTTGCTCATGACTTGCACATGTAGGACTTACTCCCACCTCTGCTAAAATACCCACTACACACACAATAGATTTCTGCAGGGCGCACAAACTGATGCATTTGTATTACAGTAACTCCTATCAAAACACATACACCTATTTTAAATTATTCCAGGACTAAATTATCATCATATTCGATAATGCTTACGCTTACCTTTTGCCTTTGAAGCCAATGTTCTGGTAATGGGCATTTGGGTTAGTAGCAAAACTGGCTTGAAGATAAAGTTTGTTTTTCATTGTAGACACACAATTCATGTTCAACCTTTCATCGACCCTAAACAGTATTCTCTTCACCTGAGCTAAGTGTTTTTTTAATGTGCATTATCTTCACCATAGCCAGGAGGTGTGTGGCGCAGTGGATAGAACGTTGGTGTTAGGATCAAGGGAGCACAGGTTCAAACCCCACTGCAGTCAGCATGTCGTTGTGTCCCTGGGCAAGACAATTCACCCCAAATTGCTCCTGTGGGGATTGTCCATAGTATTGAGTATGTAAGTCGCTTTGGATAAAAGCGTCTATCAAGTAACATGTAATAGCCATATCCACAATCTTTCCCCAACCTTGACCATCCGAAAGTGGCCATGTGGAAAAACTGTAGAAAAGTGAGACAGGGTTTTGCAGAATCCACCATTATCCGACATTCTTGTCTGGTCATGGATGGACATGATATAAAAAGACATTGGACTGTCAGATAGAGCCACATTATGATCCTGAGCACATCAAACATTGTTTCTGAAATAGTTTGAGCTTTTTTCACTCCGTTGTGTTCAGACAGCCCAGTAGCTTCCCTAAATTCTCCTCAACCTAACTTGCCAAATGTTAAAGCTACCGCTATTAGCCAAACCAGCAATATAAAACAGTATAAGAAGCACAGTAATAGAAAAACATATAGCTTCCAAGTTTGACATGTAGTCACAGAGTTGGCATCAACCTTTTTTCCAGCCTGTCCAAAATAAATACTAAATAGGATGATGTGCTACAAGTGTATATATATATATATATATATATATATATATATATATATATATATATACATTTTTCAGATATTAATGTGTTCTGTGCTATACAGGAAGAATTCTAGTGTTTGAACCTTTGAGATTATTGGTAGTGCTACTTAATCTGACTGCAGGAAAAAAACGAATCCTCTACAAAGGCAGCGGCGGGACTTTGAAGTCAAAATGAGGTGCTTTTCTTTCGGGGGAATGAAAAAAATACGCTGAGGTGGCAATGAGGTAGAGTTTGGGTGTGTGACTTTGTGTGTGGGACTCTATGTGTGTGTGTGAATGTATATTTTTGACAGCAGAACAAAATGTCCTGGCAGCAGGGTGGCCTTGTGAGCAGTTACTGTTGTTTTCCTGTCGAAAGCTTGACAGGCCACTCCACTCTTGGAAAAGAATAGAACGAACTAAAAAACAACAAATGAGAAAAGCTGTTTTTTCATTTTGGCTTGGACTGGAAGAATTCTGGTGTCACAGAACATGTTTTTAAATGAGACAATGATTTCACTTGAAATGACAAGAGAGATGAACATGGTCAATGTGGTATAATGTGTGACAAATGCTTCTTTTGTTTCCTTCATCTCAGACCACCAGTTTCCTGTCTGAAGCCCAATTTTCTGCTGAGTCGCCGGAGACGCTGGATCCACTTTTCAAGTTCCACGAGACCATTGCTAAGGTAGACCCACCATCACATCAATCCCACTTCTTCTAATATCTCTAAATCACAGTGGCCGTCATGTCTCACACATTGTATAACATCTAGCACAGGGGTCTCCAACCTTTTTTAGGATGAGAGCTACTTTCAAAAAATAAAACAAGTCGTGGGCTACTTTAACTCCTCTTTTTTTTTTTTTTTGCAGTTTATATATTTAGCACATTTTAACATTATTATATGCTGACCTTTAACCTTTGTGTGCTGTTTGGGTCTGTGGGACCCGTTTTCAGTGTTTACTAAAAGAACATGTATGCAATTTAATTACTTTAACCTGCTTTATTTGGGGGTGGACCTCACATACTCTGGGGGGGTCTGGGGGCATGCATTTCTTAAATGTTGAAGTCAAATGCATCAATCTGGTGCACTTTGAGCACAAAATGAATGTATGGATACAGCTCTCAACACTCAGATGAAAGGGAGCTGTATACTTTTCAATAATCCAAACATCTTTAGAATATGATCACAACCAATAACAAATCATTTAAACTGGTTTATTCTTATCTTATGTTACCTAGTTAGCATTCTTCCTTTTCATTTATGCATATTTTACTAATCACTCCCCTTTTAAACTGTATTTTTTTTTTTACTATCCTATAGTACACATTGGAATGATTTCTTACTTTATATTAAATAGATAAAGGTGTGCTCTCCCTAGCTCTCTCTCTCTGTCTCGCTCGCTCACAGAGGCTGTGTGCTCCTCCATGGCGATGACGGCTTGCGTTAAAAAATAATAATAAACATATTTGTAAAGTGGGGGGACACATACGGGATTTCGAAAAGTGCGGGGGACATTTCCCCCCTGTCCCAGGTGGAAATTACGCCATGCGTATGTGTGCGTCAAGTGCAATAAATATATATGCAAGTTGCAACACACACAGAGTAAAACTCTGCCCCTCATGTGTTGTATAGGCTGGCATGACTAGGCTGTTCAATGTAAAATGCAATAACGTGCTTTAACCACTAGGTGTCCCTTTCTATCAGCTGTGCACCGTTATGGCGTAAATACAGCCTATCTACCAATTGGATCAAATATAAAAGTCAGCCGAATTAGTGTTGATACTGCAAGGAGACGTATTGTGTGAAAAGAAATGTAAGATGTTGTTTAATTGCTTATATATTTAAGATCCACTTCAAGTTTTCAGTTTTGGCGGCAGTTCCTGTTTGTCAAGAAGTCTTGTCATCAGGGCTCTATAAATAGAGTTAACTACAGCAGATATGTAATATTTAATGCAGCCGAAACGTGTATTACAATGCCGTTATGTGATGACTTTCAAAGAGAAAAGCAAGCACACTCGGAATAATGTATTATTTCATTTTTGTATACAGTCTATGGTTGCTACAGAGGATTGTGGGTAATGTCCGTCAAACTTCCGGGTTCCTCCATGGGACCTTATTTCGGAAAAAGTATGCATTGAAGTCAATGGAGAGAAAAAGATTATCTTTCGATCCCGTTTGAATTGTGCCACGAGTTACACATATGATGTTTGTCAATCTTAAATAATAATTTCCATGTCAAAAAATTCACAATTTGTTTAAAACTGTTGAAATATAAGACTATGAAATGTGTGTGTATGTACAGCTCGCCCGTGATTGAAAATCTCTTTACTTAAAAAATACGGGGAATACGGATCTCGGGGTCTCCCTGCTCCCTGTGCGCCGATGCGACGCGTCATATGACGTCACATGTTTGGCATGTCTCGATTGAATATGCTTTATTTAAAACAAAAACAAGGACAATAAACAAAGCAGTCTTCACAACGGCCGGACAAAATACTTTGAGCCGCCCTATAGCCAAAGCCAGAGACACTGTTTAAAGCATAATAAAGACAATATATAGAGAGCATAATGTTTTTAATGCAATGCAGTCTCGCAACGTATGCTTCAGCAGAGAATGGCCCGCGGCGGGAAGCATTCGCTCGCGATCTCAAGAAGCCTATGGACATCACGGAAAGTTGAAAATGTATGCTAAGGGCCGCCCCCTTGCGTTGGAAAAAGACCACAGGGGACCTTGACATAATGTCAACATACGCCGACCTGGGAGTGAGGATGTGTTGTTACAATAGGGTCAGCCTTAGGGTCCTTACACACCAAACTGACACCAAAGAACACCAAAGAACACGTCCCGCCTCACGTCGCCTCACACGTCGCCTCACACGTCTCCTGCGTCTTGGCCATGTTTCGCACTGGAACACACCGCAAAGACTTCAGCTGACGGCCAAGTTGCACGTACGAACTGCGCATGTGTGAGTGGCAATAACTCTCCTTACCAGCAGGCGTCGGTAGTGTGTATTCGTCATTCAAAAGAGGCAACAACCGGAAGACAGACTGCGTGATACACCGAGAGAAGAAGAACAGACTGCGTGATATAAACAAACAACAAATAGCATGTGCTTTCCATTTTCACTCTACAGCGAGAAGCTCATGGGGCTTTCCCGAACCTGTGTTGAGAGCTGGAGTTAAATGAAATCTCAGATTGGCCTTCTTAATAGTTTGTTTGGGTCCCTCACTTCCGTTTCGCTTCTCATGCACTGATTCGCTAAGCTGAACAGCCAATCAGAGTGATTTCTTTGGCCGACGGCCTTTAGCCTTTAGCCTCCCGATTCAACATGTCGAATCGGCGGCGGAAGGTGTCGGCACGGCCGAAAAGACACGACGGTGCAGTACACACCAAGCCACACCAATCTGAGTAGGGCGACACGACGCTCATCGACGGCCCGACATCTATCGACATCTATCTACGCCGAAAATCGTCTTGGTGTGTAAGGACCTTTAATTGAGCCCTTTTGACTATCAAGTGCAAAGCAAGCCAAAACAGGGAGGGGAAAAAAAACAACCACATTTTGTTAATCAATATAGAGTACCAAATTATTTTTGCATTTTTTATGCACACAAATTGATAAATCTTTTAGCCTTGCCATTAAATGTTGCTTCCATTTCAGTCCCCAAAAAACACGTCTATTTTGGAGCCTGAAATAGAAGCAGGCTATAGTGCTGAATCGTTGGAATATAGTCTCCGTCCACTAGTGGTAACACTCAAGAAAATTATTTTGAGCTACATGCCATGGCAGAGATGGAGTACTCGAGTCCTGGACTCGGACTCGAGTGCCGATTTTCGGGACTCGTGACTCGACTCGGACTCGCGCACTGATTGACGCGACTTGGACATGGACTCGTGAATTCTCGCGCACGATGACTTGGACTCGGACTCGTGAATTCTCACGTACGCTGACTTGGACTCGGACTCGTTCATTTTTCCCCCCACGATGACTCGGACTCGACTCGTACATTGCTTGGTGACTCGGACTTGGACTCGGACTCGAACACAGGTAATGATGACTCGGACTCGACTCGGACACTCCTTGGGTGACTCGGACTTGGACTCGGACTCGACTACGACTCTCCCTTGGTGACTCGGACTTGGACTCGGACTCGAAGAGTGGTGACTCGAGAGTGACTTGGACTCGTGAATTGGTGACTTGACTACAACACTGTGCCATGGTGAGCAAAGAAGTATAGCTCTTTTTTTTCTTTTTTTCTTTGTGTTTTTGTTGCTATACAACTAAACTGCAATCTCAGTTGAATATTGAGGTAAACCTATTTTCTAAACCTGGTAAAAGCTGTATTACAACAAGACAAACATTCAACAAAACCACTTTTTAGGTCTTTACTTTTTCCAGTAAAGCAAATCTAATGAAAAAGGTGTTGGCTGTGGCTCAAAAATTAGAACAGGTATTCCATTAATCAGAAAATCAACATGTCAAATATTGACAAACTGCTGTTGCCAAATTATGATTTGTATCTCATCTAGCAGTTTGGATCTGTTCTTGTAACCCCCACTGTTAGGAGGACCACTCTCATTGGATCTAATGGCGCATTTCCACTACAGCGTGGTTTAAGCGTGCCGTGCCGTGCTCGGCCCGTTTTTGGTTGCGTTTCCACTAGGCGTAGTTCCGGCTAGCGGGTACTTTTTCACAGTTTTCTGGCTCTCCAAAATCCAGGTTCTTTCCGGGCCAACAACCGGGCTGAGTATACTAAACTAGTGAGAGAATCGCTGGCAACTACAACAAAATGAACATATTTTACCGTGATTTAATTGTAATACACGTTTCAAAATGATGCCGAAGTAACAACATTCTGATACCGGTTAGTAAAAACCATGAATTAATGCTTTGACAAGTCTGCAGACAGACGGCAGGCGAAAAACCTTTTAAAATGCGTGTTTTCTGAATGGAGATTGGCTAAGCTAACGCAGTATATGCTCCGACCGTCCACACTCACAACAACGGCCTACAGACATAAATAAACCAGCGACTGTATTCGCCATGACACAGACAGTCTGTGGTTTGTACTTGTTTAACTTCTGTCTAGTTTCTGAACAGATATGAGGAGCTGTGAGCTCTGAGGGCTAACAGCTAACGGCTGATGTTGTTTTTGTGTTTTGCATTGAAGATGACGCCACGGCTCCGCCTACACTGCGTTACTATAGTTACTACCCCAGTTCCTAAACTGTAATGGAAACGCAGCATAAAGTGAGCCTGGCCTAACAAGGCCTAACGAGGCCTAGCCATACCGTACTAAGCCGAGCGAGGACCTGCAGTGGAAAAGCGCCATAATAGATGCCCCTAGCTGTCACATTTTACAAGTTACATAAGGGACAGTGACAGTTTCATTATCTTTTATGGAGGCTGGTTCTAAATGAGCACACTTTATTTTGGTACCTTGGCAACACAAGTGTGAATGTGAAATTACATTTAACTGCACTGCAAACATGTACAAACTGTTGCAGGGATTGAAGTTCATACCAGATAAACAAACAAGGAAGCTATATTTAGGATCACAGAGAGGAAGAGAAGACAGGGTGAGAAGAACAAGTGAGAGGGCAATAAGTTTAAACAAAATAAGCTTTTCTTCCAGTGAAAAGGGTGCCATCTGTGTATTTAGACTTTTTTAAACTTTCTGTC